TCTAATCTAATCTAAAATTATACTAATTTGAATTTCAAAAAATTTGATACTTAATCTTATTCTAATTTCAATATAGTTCAAATCACCTAGTAAAATAGTCTAATCTAACTAGCTAATTAACTTTACAAAAATAGTTATGAAATACTTACCTTGTTTATCCAAACTGAGTCGATACGATGTTGACCATGTCCACAAAGAAGTACCGGATCGACCGGATCTGGATAAATTGTCGCAGACGGTAGTCTCATGGAATAACTGTCCATAAGCCTAGGAACTACAAAAGCAACAAAAACATTAATTAAAAAACAATTAAAACAAGCTGCCGGCGGCGAGATTCCGGCCTGCGACAGGGAGATTCTGGTCGCCGCCGACGAGATTCTCACCACGAAAATGATTGCCGCCTCCACGACCTCGCCGGCCTCTCCCCTGCCTCTGTCGGCGACTGCTTCCACTTCGTCGGACGACATCTGCTCCGTCGAGGTTGAACTCAGGCGCTGCCGCCTCTGTCTGCGGCGGGGTCGTCCTCCTTGGCGTTGTGGGGCAACGGCGGCGTGGTGGTGGGTTTGGTTTTTCGTACGAGCAGGTTGGGGGCTGTGGTGTGGGAAGGAAGAGGAAGAAGTGGATAAGAAAGGAAAGGTGGGGAGGGCGTCGCGCGGTTTAAAAAAATTTGAGGGAATGGCGGGGGCGCTTGAGTCTCCAGCGTCAGCGCCTAAGACTGGTTTTTGGGATTCAAAAAGCGGTCCGCCTGGGTCTCTGGCGGCTGCGCCTATAACCTTACACAAAAACAGAATGTTTGTGTAAATACTTTTTAATCCGCTATATTGATGATAAATTGAAAAAAAATATATTTATGTGATTAACCCATTTTATTGCAAGCTTGTCTCCGCATTATTCCGAAGAAGCTGCGGCCTATTATTACTGAACAAAACTTAGTCAGCCGACTGATGTTATACAAGAAAGGAAAATGACAAGAAGACCGACCTACTCGAAATTTCTCCCGAAGTTTGGATGATAGTTTTGAACTCAGAAGGGATTTTCTTTTGTGAACAATGTACTATCATTCAGTGGCGGAGGCAGGATTTGAAACTACCCCTGTCATTTTTTCGTATTATAAATATATAAATATTTAATAAGTATAATTAAATTAATAATATCTAAATAATTCATTTTCATATATAAAAAATAACTACTATTACCATCGATATTTTCATAAACAACCATGACGAGTCTTCATATTTGGAAGAAACACACAATACATTCTTTGCTACACACTTAAGTAAGTCCTTTTCAATGAATCTCACTAAACAACCATTAGCAAACTGATCGTGAGTTCGACTTCAAAGTTCGTTCTTTAGATAGCTCAAAGCTGAAAATATTTTATCGACACTTGCCATCAAAACTAGTGGAATCGGCGCTGCCACTGGACTACTTAAAGATTGCTTGCAAATAATCGAATAGGCATATAAAGAAAAGAGATCTATTCCAATTGAGATTTCATTTATTGTATAATAATTAATTTATTGTCAATTTATGATAAATAATGAGTTGTAACATAGTAACGAAGTACAATGATGTTGTGTTCCATCCTTCGTATAAACATATATGAAGTATTTTTGTTCATCTCAAAATTTACCCCTGTCCCGGGACAATGCCCAATAGGGCAGCCTCCGCCACTGCTATCATTATATATTCTCGTATCTACATGTTCACATGCAATACGAAGAAGGTTCCAACAAGTTTATATAAAAAATAGGCAAAATACACAAGGATAGCCATAACTATTTACCTTTTGACAATAATAGCCATTTTTCAAAAAATACACGGTTGTAGCCACATTTTGGAAACTCATTTGACAGAATTAGCCATTTCCATCAAATAATCTAACGACGTCAACATTCCGTTAGTTAAGTGGACGTTAAGCTGATGTGGATGCCACTTGTAAAACACATCATGTCCACATCATCGCCACATCATCATATAAATGCCACATCATATTTTAGTAAAATAAACTTTTTTCTTTCAAATCAATGTCTCTGCCCCTCTTCCTTTCGTCTCCCTCACTCTCAACTCAACTCAACTCTCCGGCTAGATCTGCACACTAACCACCAGCAGCAACAATGGATTGTTCCACTAAATCAATAGATCCCTTCCCTCTTCCTTTACCCCTTCGATTCTAAATCCCCACCACCACCCACAAATAAGTTATTCAAACAAGATGGAGGCCAACAGTGATTAAGAAAAGGACTCTTTCCCAAAGTAATCAACCCTAATCTACAAACAAGATCCAACTCAAAAAGGGGGGAAAATTAAACTCACCCCGGTTCCAATTAACCACAAAATCGAGAACCCAATTCACCGGGGGAAGAAGAAAAGGTTTGAGCAAATTGAAGTTCCCCTTGACCCAACGGGAGAGCAAGCTGCGTGCGGCGGAGATGAGAGTTGGGTCAAAGATACGGATGGCCGGACCTGCAAAACAAGGGAAAGGCCGACAGAGATGATAGGAAACAGGGGAAGTTCGGTGCTGCCGCTAGCGCTATCGTCATCTTCCTCATAGAATCGTCGTGTAAATCGCCTGAGCGAACATTGGTCTAGCTCGCTTCTTCATTCCTTCCCTCTCCTCTGTGTTTTGCTGCCTCGCTGACAACGAGCAGCAGGTTTCTAATCAAAATCGAAACCAGGAATCTCCCTCTACCGCGGCCACCGCCGCAACATCCTCCCCAGCTTCCGACGAAAGTTGAGATGGGTGGCGAATCTGGAGGCGGGCTATTCGATTTGGGGGATTTTGGATGAACTTGAGAACTGGGTATGTGTTTCTTCTCATTTTCGCTTCAACCTCTCACAAAACCACACCGCTAACACTTGCTTCCATGACTGGCAATTAGAACTAGGTTCTTGGGAGCGGCGGCGTTGGATTGTCTCCGGGGAGGATGTTGCGACAGTGGAGCCCTGCGACGACAGAGGGGATATTGGGATTTTTTTTGTTTTCCCACCGTGAGGGTTTCACTAGAAATAGAAATAAATGGTTTTTCTTTTATTTAGTTTTTGTTTTGTTTATTTTTCCACCTGTATAGCTTTTGACGGAAAGATGCCACGTTAGCAAAACCTGTTAGTCCAGTAAGCATTCATGACGATTCTGTTAAAGTTATTGACGAAATGACTATTTTAGTGTATATTTCAAAAAGTGGCTATTATTGTCAAAAAGTGAATAGTTATGGCTATACGTAGAGTTGTCAACCGGTCGGTTTCGGTTTAACCGAAAACCAATTTCTCGGTTTTCGGTTAAACCGAGACTAGACCAGTTCTGACCGCCAACCGACCGACCCTGTGCATCGGTTATCCGTAAAACCGACCGAGCGGTTTCGGTTAATACACGGTTAACTCGGCGCAACCGAGATAGAAGGGGACGGTTCGGTCTGCTGTGGAACCCGACCGAAGACCGACCTTTAACCGGTCCAAACAGACAAGAACACAATCGATTTGAACTGGAAAGAACCAAGATGAACAGCAAAGGGGAGACAGAAAACGAATCTGGAACTTCAATATTATCGATCTCGGATGAAGAAACCTCCATGGTCATGCTCAATAAGCAAAACCTTACTCAATTTGAATTGCAGGCTCCCTCAATCGTTCACAGAGTAACTTTCCGCTGCTGGGTTTTGATCTGACGAGGAAGAAAGACGAAGAGGGAAGTTCGGGGACCGCGGAATCTTCCATGGAGTCGGGATCCGAGAAGGCCTCAGCAAAGATAGATTCTTTAGATCTGGGATGTCATAATTCAGTTGACCTTTCCCTTCAAATCTAATTGCAACCAGGTGATACTCTGCTACTACTCTGCAACAGCAGCAAGCTTAGCCGCGACGGAAGGAGAATAGCCAGAGCCAGATCCAGATCCGAATTTGTTGGGAGCTCCGCCGCCTCCAGAAGGCGCCAATTGATGACTATTTGACTCAGCCAAGACAAGCGACTTGTAGATCTGGAGGATCATCTTCTAATCGTACTCCTTAACCGCCCTCCTCCCAAGCGACGAGACCCCTCGCCGCCGTAACCCGCGGCGCCGACCATCCCGCCGCCGACGATGGCGTGCTAGCGGCGGCTGTGCTCTGGCCGACGACGATGGCGACTCTGGTCTGGTCTCCGAGGAATTCGCCAATCGCCAGTAACGAGAGAGAGGTCGGAGAAGATGAGGAGGAGGAAGGAAAACGAGAGGGATGGTTTCTTGGCGGCTGTCCACGATTGAGCCGAGTGACTAGGGTTAGGGTCGTTTCTCACTTGCCAAAACGACGTCGTATAGCTCGGTCGGTTAGAGCCGGTTAGACGGTTAACCGGCTTCGGTTACTCGGCTAACCGCTCGCCCAGAACCACTTACCGCCCACCGACCGAGACTGCTTTCCTTCGGTTTTCGGTTAGCCGCTAACCGGCGGTTACCGGTTAGACAGACCGGTTAGCCGCTAACCGGAAACCGAAATGACACCCCTAGCTATACGAGTGTATTTTGCCTAAAAAATATGAGAATATATTAATTAAAAAATGAAAGTGACAAAATAATTGTTCTAGTAAATCGAAATTATGGCCAAGTAATTAGGTCCGTCAATGGATGGGATGGGGAATAGCTAGCGCTACCTCTAGCATGACGACATCATGGATTACGTACAGTAGGATGATCTCATCAACTTTTTTTTTTTTTTTTGTCAATGGAGGTATTATGTTTACGGCTCCAATTCGACAATAATCACGAGCTGAAGTTATATTCAACTCTAGGTACAAGCTGAAGTTACACCATAACGTTAAAGGTACAACTTGAAGTTGTATCATAAAAGAAAAACCTATAGCACCAATATTATATAGCATCGTAAAATTTCTCTAATAATACATATATAGTTGAACCATGCTCTAGTTATTTTGCTTAATTAATTAATTTGGTGTAACCGCCGGCGGCCGCAGCTTACAGCAGGGTAGTGGGATCGGCGAGGGAGGAGATCCTCGAAGTTGACCACTCCAACATGACGGTGAAGACGACGATGAACGACGACGGAGCGTTCGTGCCGCGGCTGTTCGACAGCGTGGACATCACCACGGCCGTGTTGCCTTCCTCCCGCACCAACCTCAGGGCCACGGGCTGCACAATGACTTGGTCATTCACGTACGACAGTGCCAAAGGTAACGCGGACATCAACAACCTCAAGAATGTGATGCAGACTGCGTTTCAGGATTTGGACGACTATCTCAGGAGAGGACGCGGCAACCGCCCGTGAAGAGGAGAAAAGCGAAGACTAAGCGTCGACTTTTATTGTCGAGCATGCGATGGATATTGTTGGCTACTTCTTCCTACTTTAAAGCAATCGTGTATGGTAATAAGATGGTCGAGTACTGTTCTCGTTCTGTAGACCATCTTTAATTAGTTTGTGTTGGTTTGGATTTGATCGTCGTTGTTTCTGTATGTGTGGTTTCGTTTGATTTCCCTGTATTTCTTTCCATGGTATTGTTGTGCTTGTGTCTGTACCTGAAATAATGAAGAAGGAGAATGTTACGCGTTGTGCAAGCTCCCATCCTTTTTACACGTTCTTCATGAGCACTACTACTATGCTATATAGTATTGGTGCTTTAATGTACAACTTGAAATTGTACCATAACATTACATGTATAAATTTAGGTTGTAGTTTGTACTATAAAGCAATTTGTATCATTATGTTATGGTACAATTTTACAACTTAAAGTTGTCACATAAAGGTACAAGTTCAAGTTATACCATAAAAGAATTTGTACAAAAAGTATAGGTACAATCTGAATTTGCACCATAACGTTAAAAGTACAATTTCAAGTTATACCATAAAGACAAAAACATATAGCACCAATACTATATATCATTGTAAAATTCCTCGTTCTCCTGATCATGGTCATTAATTTATTTCCCCCGTTCTGTTAGGAGCTGTGCCAACTGATCAATCTTCTATTGCGCACGATGCACAATTTGTGGTATTGATCAATCTTCTGCACAATTTGTGGCTATATATATATCCAGCTGAAAACTTTATCAACAACTCGAAATTCGCCTATAGCAGCCTCAACATCGGCTAGCTAGCTACAGGTTTTGCAGCTATCGCAACAACATTTTCATGCATGATTCCTAAGTTCTTTCACAAGTCACAACCACCTCCCCAGCCACATCCTTTGGAACCCTCACTTGCTAGCACGCAACAATCAGGTCAAAACATGGACCAATGTCATAATTAAATGGATTTTCTGCGGAACCATTTTCAGTTGATCGTTCTGACTAAAATCGATATGTAGTAGAGGCGATATAGAGCAAAAACATGGACCAAAAATGATGTAGATCCAAGTTCCAAACCAGACTACATTGATTTGTGCCGAAAAATTGGGCCAGCAGCATATTGATTGGGCCGCATCTTTCTCACTAAATAACGAGGGGGCCAATTATATAAAAGCGGTTTATTTTATAGATAAATGTGATATATGTTCGTTTTAGTTATAAGGTGCTACTTGAATAATTCATATATTATACTATTTTTTTTGTTTCGCCAATTGACATATTTAATAAAGGTGATATAAAGGTACTACTTGAGTAATTCATATATTATACTATCTTTTTGTTTGGTCAATTGACATATTTGATTTCGGTTATTAACTATGTTAATCAATAGATTTCACTACTTAAATTATTTACATCTTTCATTTTTTTTAATTCACCTTTTAAAAATGTTCGTCATCTCATGCGTACGAATTTAATGCATATTTTATGAGTAATCAACTAATTGTTGGTTAAACTCAATCAAACAATATAATACAACGCTAAGTCAATAATTTTTTTTTTTTATCTCATGATTGCAATATGCAGATTTAAGGAGAAATCCACTAATTGCTGGTTAAACTCAACAAAACGCAGAGCGCTAAATCGATGATTTTTATTTGTTAATGTATCAGTACATGGTTTGAGTTAAGAAAACATTTCATTTACTCAATCAAGAAATATAAACTCTTGCCTATACTTATCATAAAATGGTATTGAAAATTTTCAACATTCAGCATACAAACAAATAGTAATTTAATTATTTAATCTTGACACATATCCGCAGTGGAAGTATGTAAGTCTTAGTGAATGATATTATATCAAGATTTTTGAACCAAGACACTCAAATGTGTTATGTATATAATACACTTGAATCTATCATTTTGAATAGTACTTAGTCTAACTGAAACAATAATATTTGTTACTTGCCTTAAAACATTAATAAAATTTCTTATTAAAGAAAATTTATCTATGTGTAAGTCTAGACCCTAATTCTCTAAACTTTAAACCATAATTCTCCAGTGATTTGAATTTTGGACCCAAAGCTTAATGATCAAAATTCTACACCCTAATTATGTTAAATGTAAATCCTAAGATTAGAAAAATTATCATTGACTCTGATTGAATAAAGATCCGGGTTTAATTCGCTATAACAAAGATTTTCCTACATAAAGATATTTAAGTATCATTTGCAATACAAATCTATATCCCTATGTAGAATTAAGGAGGATGAATCAATGGACAAATGGAGAAAAGTTAACAAAATTCTACTATATATTATTATTGAAGGAGATTATATGTATCAATTTTATAATGTATGGGTTGTTTCTAAAACTTTTTAAACTAAAATTAATTTTTTTCTATATTTTTTAATTTGAGATGCATATTCAAATGGGGTTTTTGTTCCCAACAGGGGCAGACCCAAGTGGATGGTAGGAGTGTCACGTGACATCTCTAAAATTTGTGAGAAAAATAAATGAACTTCCAGTATTAGTTTGAGTGTGAGAAAACAAAACAAAAAAATGGTAGTACAAGTATGTCTAATCTATCACACTGTAATTATTAGTAAACATCTTTTTTACTTGACTAAACTTCATTTGTTGTTGTAATTTTTTCATAATTGTAAATATAAACATTTATCCCAAAATTTTCAAAGCCTAAAATTTAAACCCACAAACAACCCCGGCCCTTATCCCCACTGCATTTTCCCGATTTCATCCTGAGGAGTTTGGTAAGCTTTGTAAATTTTTTTCTTAGAATTATTATCATTGTGTTAACAACGATGATTTATTTTGGAATTAAAAGGAATTGATGAATTATCGGAGTTGATGGTGGAGACACAATTGAATATATCATACTTATGGGTCTATTTGTTCCTCCTAAGTTATATCGATTTTACTGGTTTCAACTCCAAGTGTTTTGAGAGTTTTTTCAGCATTGGGTTCCATCAAGAATTTTTTTTAAAATCGAATAGGCGACGAGTTCGTGAAAGATTGTCGAGTGGATTATATTGAAAGAGATTTGTTCAGCACTGTAGAGGTGAGTGTAATTTTACATTTTTGTCAGAATATGATAACACGTCGTGGATTTTTGTTGTACCTTGTGCTAGTCGGATATTTTCTTATTGATAAGAATTTTAAATATCATTTTAGTTTTTAAAAAGGAACACTCTTATATAAAATATTTCGATCCGTCGGGAAAAAAAAAACTAATTCAACTATTGACAATTGACATTAACCTGATACCAAATCACTACGGCTACAACTTGCATGACCCATTGTCATTCCTAACAGACCTACCGACTTCGTGGTTCTAACTTATATGTTACTTTCTTAACTATATCGAGAAGCAGTGAAGAAGTTGACTGACTTAAGCTAGCCTCATGGTAACAAATTAAAACACCTACGCAACAGCCACTTGCCAATCAATCTATATATCTAGCTATCTACAATTACTTAACATATAAAAAATGAATATGGACCCCAAGTAGCATTATTTCCTCGACGGTGCACCTTATCCTGAATTTACTCTATGGGATCCATTTCCACCTTACTACATTGATGATGCCTCCCTCTCAGAGTCAGAGTCAGACCTAGACAGTTGTGGTTTAATACGACCCAACAACCGTCGGCGATTTACACAGCCAACAACCATATATACGGCTTTCATCAACTCGCCGACCGACCCATTTCTCAGTAAGTAGTATAAATCCATTTCCATTCCCTCCAATCTAACCATCCAAGTCGTAAACACATCTACCCACATACACTCCTCTCATTTACTCTCAATAACTCCACATTGTGAGAAACAATGGCAAGAGCTGGGACTCTGGAAGTGGACGTGGAGATCAAATCCCCGGCGGACAAGTTCTGGGAGAACATCAGAAACTCCACCACTCTTTTCCCCAAGGCCTTCCCCGACCAGTACAAGAGCATCGAGGTCCTCCAGGGCGACGGCAAGGCCCCCGGCTCAATTCGCCTCTTCACCTATGCTGAAGGTTAGGGATATTCGTACTTCAGATTACTGTGTCATAAACCAGTGGGTCTCAATAACTCGAGTTGTTGGAAAAAAAGTTATGCTGGGTCTTATACCACTCTCTGATACAACGAAAGTACATCGTGATCTTCTGGGTTTACAGGATCTCCGCTGGTGAAGGTGTCGAAGGAGAGCATCGACAGCGTGGACGAGGAGAAGAGGTCGGTGTCGTACAGCGTGATCGAAGGGGATCTGCTCAAGTACTACTGCAGTTTCAAAGGCCACATCGTGGTTGCTCCAAAGGAGGAAGGTTGCCTGGTGAAATGGACGTGCGAGTACGAGAGGGTGAGCGACGATGTGGAGGTTCCGCACGTGATCAAGGACTTTGTGGTCAAGAACTTCAAGGAAGTTGATGAACTGGCTCTGGCGGCTTAAAGAAGAAGAAGAAGGGCGCGCGGCTAGTTGTTCCGGTCCAGAAAGCTGGGAGATCTAGTCCGAGCCGTACTATATGATATGGTTGTTTGTTCAATTGAATAAGGCGTTGTCATACTCATAAGTCATACTCATTTGCAGCTCTATTATTATTATTATTATTATTATTATTATTATTATTATTATTATGGTTAGCTCGCATTTTGCTATCTAATGCTTGCTGTCAAGTAATTAATCGATTATTGCACTATCACATTTGGAGTCAGAAATTAGGAGCTCCTACGTAATAAAATAATATTTGAACAAGGGACTCCCTGGACCGACTTGACATCATATATTATGTTAAGTGAACTAAGAATATATGAGAGTATATCTAGATGGACTGAATTACAACAAAAAATTATTACTATTATTTTTAATTTTTATATTTATTTTGATAATTGGGTTCAAGTGATATTAAATATTATAATTTTTATATTAATTCAATAGTTGACCTATTATATGTAGGGTGGACAATGAGTGTGTTGGGTGGATTTTGGT